TGGGGCAGCGGGTGGGGGGGGGGGGGCGGCGCGCGCGGCGGGGGGTGGGCGGGGCGCGGGGGGCAGGTGGGCGGGGGGGGGGTGGGCGGGCAACTCGCCCACCCCCCCACCCCCCCCCCCCCCCCCAGCCGCTCCCCCCCCCCCGCCCGCACCCCCCCCCCCCCGCCCCCCCCCCCCCCCCCCCCCCCCCCCCACCCCCCTTACCGTGTCGTGTGTCGCGTCAAATGTTCTGTGCTTAGTCGTGCTTATGCTGTGTTGCAATTGCTGTCGTTCGCGTCGAGTAGTGTCCGCTGGCCTTCACGCGCTCGCGTATCTGTTTCTCCTGGTCCCTTCCCGTGTGTGCGTATGCAGTCTGTGTCGCTTGTCGAGTGTGTTACTCGTGAGGTATAGTGACGTGTGCTGGTGTCCGGCGTCCTGTGTGTGTCCTGTGAATTATCCACTACATTATGCGCTTCTATCGATTTTCGCTAACACAGGTACCCTATCTTATTTTATAACTGCGATGTGCGCTGCGTGCTTGCATGATTCATGTTGCTCTTGTGTTGTGTCGCGAGTCGCGTGTGACGTACGTGGCTTGTGCATGTAGTGCGCCTGGCCAGTGCTTCGTGTGTTGACTGTGTGTGCGTGTACGTGGTGCAGTATGTAGGCGCTACGATGCGGTCCGAGTGTTCACTCTCGTCCAGTGTGCGTCCCGTACTCGGTCAACTGTCGACTAAGTGCTTCCGTGCCGTCAGTGCACTTTTCAGTGCGTGCGTCCTTTGCCGGCTGTTGAAGGCGCCCGTTGCGTTCCTTGCCTGTAGTCTTGTGTTCGCCGTATTAAGTGCGTGTAGCGTATGCCATGCGTGTGCCGAATGGAGGGTACATGTATGCGAAATGCTGTGCGTGGTAAGTGGCTCTGTATATGTGCGTGCGCTGCCAAGTCGTGTGCGCGTGAACGTGTGCGCAGCCGAGCTTAGCGTGCCGACGATCTGCGTTGTAATTGTGTCTCCGTGTGATGTTGGCGTCGTTGTTTCCTGATGGACGTGCGCGTATCTGCGCTACACCGTGTGCGTGTGAATGTCTCACTTGCTGTGTGCCGAGAAATTCCGTGGGCGTCGTACGATGTCTAAAGCAATATACATCTATGTCGCGCAAGTCACCGCGATCTGTGCTTGTCTTTACAGCCCACCGCGTCGTTCTAGACTGGCTGTTCTCACGCCCGCTAACCTACTGACTGCATATTATCGGCCCCGCACACAGCGCCGCGCCCCTCACTCACCTCTATCGCACGTCTCACACTCGCCGATCGCCCTTGTGAGAGCACTTTGACAGACTGAGAATACCCGGTCCGAGCAAAACGCTTTATTAAATGCCATGCTATGAAACGGCTCCTTCTCGATTCCCCACACCGTCCAGACTATGTTTAGAAACGCTATACTATGTACCACTTGCACGCCCTCATCCGCTCCATACCTGCCGCCGGTCCGCCAGGCCACTGCCGAGTTTAAAGTAGAGGATAAAAACTATCACTTCACACCCAGCCCCCAGCGCATTTCCCGCCGCCCCCAGCAATCACAGTTCCATGGTGCTATAAAGCGCTCGCGTGCATCGGGTGATAACTGCAAGTTGGCCGGCTCAGCCGTACCCACCCCACTCCCAACGAAACGTTTAAAATTCCGTTTTTTGACGGCTATAAACGCGCGCACATTACCCCAAATCAATCTTTGTGAGGCATTTAGCCGTTGTCACATCCATCTCTGGCTACGCAAACCCTCGTTGCTATACACAACTCCGTCGTTTTCGATTTATCAGATCGTACATCTCCTATACTAATCCTCTAAAGGGACCGAGTTAAGTAATTCACAGATACTGGCAGTTAGTTGTATTGGCCGGCCGCTAATGCGCGTTTTCCGATGCTGGTGCACCGAGAGGGCTGCATAACGCCCAGCTATTTTTACTTGTATCGGCCGGTGCTGACCTAATGTGTGCAATGTGACTGCATAGCGTCGAGCGACAACCGGTAATAAGAAAAGAAGACGCAAGAATAATAAGCAGAAACGAGTGTTATATAATCATTTGATCAATCTGGCTTTGAATATCATCAATCACAAACAATTTAGAACATTACATTGCCGAGGATCAAACAATCATAAGAATCATATGAAAGGCAGCATTCACTACAACCGCCTCCGTAACAGCCGTTTGAAGGCCGATCGAAGCAAAACTGTCTCGATGTACGAAATTTGCTGCTATAATTGAATTACATTTCAACGTGTGCATAGTTAACGCGGGCAAAAGAGATACTGCTCATACGTACGGTTTCCGACATCACGACCATCGTAGACAGCTCGATCACAGTTATTGAGCCTATCCGGAAATCAGAGAGAGACGTCGGATACTAGAGAGCGATGCGCAAAGATAGCCCATGAAAGCCTGACCGCCGAGCGCGAATGTTGCGCGCATTCGTCTGCAAGCGCGCACGCCCGCGAACGTCTACGATATAATCGGTGCTGCAGCTGTGCATCCTGGCGCCAAATCCAATAGCGCGGCGCCACGGATGCATTTGCACCAAGCGAACAGAGAACAATAATTTTTGAAGCTATGTGCCATATATCGAAAACAGCATCGAAGTCAAACAGCTGTGCAGTCAGACTTTACGGCGAGTAACTGGCCGCATCTACTAGGCTAATTACCGGAAGCCAAACACTGAGTTCAAAAGATACCTCTTCAAAACTGTCCAGATACACCAATATTTAACAGATTTCTACTGTATCCTCAAAATAACTGTGCAAAACCTGTCCAGTTCGCGGAGCCTAATGCATAGGTTAAGGGACAGGTCATCATGGGTTGTCGGCTAGACAAGGTGCGTGACAAGGGACTGAGTGATCCGGACGTAACATTAGACCAGCTATTGCAATACGCCCGAAACCTTGAAGTGACACATGCACACTCCAAGGCGATCAAGAGTCAAGGGGTTAATCTCCTAAGCCGGAACAAACCAACGTTCGCATCAAAGTCAAAACAGCATGTCCATAAACAGCCTGCCGGGAATTTCACCACTCGCCATCCAAAACCAGCTCCAAACAGCACCACTAAGAAGTGCCGGAACTGTGGAGGTCAGTGGCCACACCAAGGTGGATTCAAGAAATGTCCGGCATGGGGTCAAGCCTGTAGAAATTGTGGGAAGCAAAACCATTTTGCTGCTGTATGTTTGTCAACGTCAAGAGTGCACCAAATAGAGGAGGTAGAAGACGCCGAGTACACCTACAAGGTGAACATAGAAGGTCAAGCCGCCTCACCACATTTTGACATCAACATTGGCAACAACCACATCACCATGATGGCTGACTCGGGAGCAAGCGTCAACCTGCTCTCTGAGGAACACTACCGCTCCATGCAAAGTCCGCCGCCGCTACAACGTTCTTCAGCAAGGATACGCGTATGGCGAGACGACACCACTGCAAACGCTTGGAGAGTTCACATCGTGCCTGACATACAAGAACAGGTCATGTGATGCAACACTCACCGTAGTACGCAACGGAAGCGCCTCACTTCTCAGTTGGCAGACATCACGTCAACTCAAGCTTATCACACTGGTGAACGCCATTGGGAGACGCAACGCAGAACAACTGGTGAGTGAATATAGCGACCTGTTCACTGGTCTGGGTAAGCTGAAGGACTATAACGTGCACCTACACATTGATGAAACCGTCCAACCTGTAGCACAGACACATCGACGCGTTCCATTTCACGTGCGCAAAGACCTTGAAGCTCAACTTCAAGCAGATGAAGACCTCGGAGTACTTCAACCACATACCGGCCCGACACCGTGGGTCTCTCCAGTGGTCTGTGTCCCGAAGAAAAACGGACAGCTCCGGGTGTGCATCGACATGCGATGTGCGAACACAGCAATAAAGAGGGAACGCCACTCAACGCCTACAATCAACGAGCTTGTGAACGACCTCAACGGTGCGACAGTGTTTTCTAAGCTAGACCTAAATCAAGGCTATAACCAGCTAGAACTCGACGAGGCATCACGGTACATTACAACGTTCGCCACACACGTCGGCCTGAGGCAATTCACCAGGTTGAAGTTCGGCATCTGTAGCGCTGCCGAGGTTTTTCAAGAAGCCATCAGACAAGCCCTAGCCGGTCTCAATGGTGTCATCAATCTGAGCGATGACATACTCGTTTTCGGAACTGACCAAACGGCACACGACGAGAATCTCCGAGCTGCATTCCAACGTCTGAGGGAAAAGGGCTCACTCTCTCCAAGAAGAAGTGCGAGTTCAACAAAACATCACTTGAATTCTTCGGTCACATCTTCTCGAAAGCAGGTCTTGCCGCTGATACATCGAAAATCCAAGCAATTCTGGAGATGGAACCGCCAAAGTCTGCGTCCGAGATCCGTAGTATCCTCGGAATGTCAAACTACTGCGGGTCCAGATTTGTCCACGACTACGCAACAATCACGCACGACCTCCGAGAACTGACCAAGAAAGACATCCCGTGGCAATGGTTGGCGAAGCATCAAGCAGCCTTCAACGCGCTGATGACCGCACTGACACAAGCGCCAGTACTGCGGTACTTCGATCCCTCATTGGCAACTGAACTGCACGTTGATGCCAGTCCTGTAGGTATCTGCGCTATTCTGATGCAGGCAGGGAAAAACGGCACGCGTCACACTGTACAGTATGCCAGCAGAGCGCTCACACCAGTTGAACAGCGTTACAGCCAAACAGAGCGCAAAGCCCTGGCTGTGGTGTGGGCCTGTGAACACATTCACATCTATGTGATGGGAAGTCCAGTAACCATATACACCGACCACAAACCACTGGTGCCGCTGTACAATAATCCGCGGTCAAAGCCTCCAGCATGCATCGAACGTTGGACACTCAGACTCCAGCCGTACGAGATCGAGCTGAAGTATCGAAGCGGAAAGAACAATCCAGCAGATTACTTCAAGTCAGACAAGACACACACCTAGCGTCACTGAGTGCTCTAGGAGAAAGGATAGGGTTATGGAGGAGTACATCAACCACATCGCTGCTACTTCTGCACCCAAAGCAATGACCCTGACTGAACTCCACAACTGCACCGAACGCGATGCGACCCTGCAAGCTGTCATTCACGCCATCCGTTTTGGCAAATGGGAGATCGCGAAACAACGACCCGGTGTTAACACGGCATCATTCGATCGAATTCACAAAGTTTGAGGGGAACTATCCGTGACCGAATCCGGCAACTTGATTCTACGTGTCACACGGATTGTTGTACCACATAAACTGCAACAACGCGCTGTCGAGCTGGCACACGTTGGTCATCAAGGCATGGTCAAGACAAAGGCGCTCATACGTGAGAACGTGGTTCAGCGGTATAGACCATCGAGTAGAGGAAATGATTCGTAGTTGCATGGCGTGCCAGGTAGCGACGCCCACCCAAACACGGGAACCCCTAAAAATGTCAGCACTGCCTGAACGTCCATGGTCAGAAATAAACACTGATTTTTGACAGGTACCTGGCATGGGTACGCACTTTATGGTAATCTCCAACGACTTCTTACGCTACGTCGTCATGGAACCAGTGTCCTCTCTTACAGCAAATACTGTCATACCTGTCATTGACAAGATCATTGGAGAATTCGGTGTACCCGATGTGGTCAAGTCGGATAACGGATCCCCCTTCAACAGCAGCGCATTCTCTGACTACGCACGGCACAAAGGCGTCAAGCATCGTAATATTACTCCCCTGTGGCCGCTCGCAAACGCCGAGGCAGAACGCTTTATGAAGACGGTGAAGAAGTCCATTAAAGCTGCCATAGCGGAAGGGAAAAGCTAGAACCAGGAGCTGCACAGCTTTCTGCTTAACTATCGAGCAACTCCTCACAGCAGCACTGGCATACCTACAGCTACGCTGATGTTCGGGAGGGTCATCAAAACAACCCTTCCCCGGATCGCGTACGAGCAACCGCAGCACGACGTCCGCCAGAAGGACAGCGAGTCCAAAGCAAGGATAAAAGTGTACGCGGATCGCAAGGCATACGCCAGAGAATCTCGTATAAAAATTTGTGAACCTGTGCTCATGAAGAGAGAGGGAATGAGGAAGTCTGACCCCCGTTTGATCCGAAACTCGTCGTTGTGACGAAGAGAAACGAATTTATGGTAACAGCAGAATGTCATGAAAAGACAGTAACCAGAAACTCGTCCCGATTCAAACGCTCCCCCACACGTCCAGAAGACGTCCCGACGTCGTCTGATGAGGAGGAGGATGAGCTGGGTCTGCAACAATACCCCGGACCAGACGATCCGCCGCCGGACGCTGTGGTCCAGCACGCTCCAGGGCTACCTGGTACCAGGTAGACCGCAGCGAGAGCGTCGGCTTCCGGAGAGATTTAAGGACTTCGTCATGGCCTAGACATTCCGTTCAAGTTGGGGAGGACTGTGATGTCCAGCCCTAGTGTTTACGTTTGGTATCGGTGCTGACTCTATGTGTGCAATGTGACGCATGCGCGAGCGGACATCCGGTAATAAGAAAAGAAAGGAGCAGCAAGAATGATAAGACAGAAACGATGTGTTATAATCTTCGGAGTTCAATTATGGTTTGATATCATCACAAAGAATAAGAACATTACACTCAGCAGGCTTGTCTACCATCAAAAATTCTAAATTGAAAAACTGAAACATACGAGGCTGAAGGTGTTCACTGACTGATGTCATTTCTTGACAACAAAGACACTCTGTTCGATAACATCCTTTTGCACAAACCGCAGCTGCACCAATCGTCAGCTGTTCCGGTGACACGGTGTTGAACTTGAGGCGAATCGCCAACACTGTCTGCTACCCGTTCCTCCCCATCTTTCCACTCGGGCTCAAAACAGTACGGTGCAAAATTGGTGGAAGATTTAGTCAGATATTGAAATTCCTCGGGGTTACTGTCCGATTCAGAACTGACAGAAGACTGTAGTCAACACGTAGTTTGGCCATATCCAATGTGTAAAACAAGTGAGCACGCGCCACTCAACAAACACGCAAGGCATTGCTGGATAATTATGTCGGCCTGTACAACAGTTGGCGTAGTCCAAGATCAACCATAGACATAATCAAAAGCAGGTTTGATCATATGTTCTAAAAATGTCAGGAAACATATTTAAAGTAATTACAATGTCATATAATAGGCTAAATACGCTATAGATGTCAGAATCCCTTTAATAAAGAATAAATCTTAATAGAGAAAGCCTATCGTACTCAGTACTCGACATTACATAGCAGATAATAATGACGCTGGAAAATGATGAAGCGTTCCATGACAATCTGGTTCAAAAGAATGTTTATTTGTACAATATTTTTAATTGCAAACCGTCGAGTTTATTTTTACTGTCGTCTATCCTGATGCCGCAAGGGCTTGTTGTTACAAGGCTTATTTACAGGGAAAGCGTTTCCTCAAGAAATGCTGGTAGGTACATGTAGGGCATTTGTATGACACGTGTAGGACATTTGTGGGACACTTGTATAGTTTCCGCAATCCATATTTTCCACATAGATTCCATTACACTACACAGTTTTAAGACGCTTTGTAATTATAATTACGCATTATAATTATTTTCTGATTTCAACACACAGCAAAGCACGAGATTTATACGCTGAAAATTAAACTACAGTATTGTTAGATTTCATCACGAAAATTATAGACAATTTAAGTACTGCTGTAATAATGAGAGATTTCCAAACGCAAAAACACGAGCATTACCTACATGTAATGTTAGCACTATAACAGTGATAGATTACGATATTAAGAAAACACGAATATCACAGATAATCTAAACATTACAATGAGAGTTGTCAATAATGAACTGTTTCACAATAAAAAATAAACGTATGGCGATTTTGGTAGTAGGCATGGGTATGGAGTCTCGAAAAAATACAGGCAATGTGAACCATTCAATAAGGAGAGATCTTAGCACGGAATACATAGCACGGAGAATTCTAGTGAATATTAACACGGTAACACGCGTATAATAAAATACCTAAATAAATTTCAGGGTAATAAATTTTACCTAGGTAAATTTCGCTTCCCCCGGCGTTAGCCATAAGAATCTTGTAAAACGTAAAGGGAGATTTCCTCGAACTTTCCACGTAAATTTGTGTAACAAACCACTGTAAAAACGTCAGTAAATAACTCACTACACTTTAACTGAACGTTAGCTTTGAAAATAAAACTATAAAAACATCTATCAAGCTTATATTTGCTCATCAAAGAAACAAATCGAAAAACGCTTTTTGCCGCGGTTCCGTAGGCGCCATATTGTTTATATTTGAGCAACCATCATTTTAATCGAGTCAATGTAGCCACTTTCAGATATCATAACTTTTAATATAAATTATTTTATGAAATCAAACTTTGTAGTCTAGACAAAGAGGCATCGCGACTGTTTATGTTATTAATTTCAGCATTTTTACCGTAACCGTTTTCGAAATAGAACGTGCTAAAAACCCAACAAAACGTAATCCGAACTAACAGCAACCTGACAGAACTCTCGACTCACTCACTCGTTAACTCGCTCAGATTACTATAATCTCACAGCAACAAAAACGTTGCCCTTTCTCTATAAGCTATAGCCATGTACGTGACCAGAAAAACCATTGGGTCATAACATTATTTTACATAGCATGGTTCATACATACATAACACGACAAGTGTGCGAATCGGAACAATCGTCGCATAGCGGTAACGGTAAACGCGTTTGAAACATTCGACCTGAACGTTTCACTTTGTAGTATAAAAGCTTTGAATGAACATATTCCTGAGCACTTTTTTCACCTATCACACGTATATAGGCAAGTTTTCCGCTTGAAATTTGAGAGAATCTCTTTAAATACGATTTAAACACTAGAACAATAGCCGGTATAACACACGTCTAACTTGACATTTATAGTATAGTTTAACGTTATTCAAACACTATGTCTTATATATATTATGGTATATATTTTAGAAGTAAAAACACATCGAACACCCATGTAGATAATAAAATAATACCCCCTACAGACTACGAATGATGTGGTATTAAACTAGCGCGCGCCAGGCTCGCGCTAAAGATTTGCAGTGTGTACACGGTGTATTGTGTGCGTGTGCGTGTGCGTGTGCGTGGGCGTGTGGGCGTGGGACCCTGGTCATTATATAATATATAGCAGATTATATGGTCAATACGTTTACCTTGTATACAGGCGAATGCGAGCGACTTCATCAGCACACAGTCGTGACATGATTGATCATCGTAGAATGGTTCCAAAATGCATGATATGATGAGCGACCGGCGCAGGACACGTACACGGGGGAGCGAGACAAGATGGGGGGGAGTGAGTCAACCCCGGGCGGTGGTTATATACGTCGACTGCCGTCGTGTTGTCAGGCCCGCAGTGAATCCCGTGTCGAAACTTGTATGTGAATCGTGCAGAATGGCTTCGATCGTATTTGAATCCTGTAGAAACACATGTGAATCCCGTGTGGAAACCTTTATGTGAATTCATGTAGAATGGCTTCGATCCGTAGACTATGTTTCAAACGTGTACTATGTAGACGGCCCGGCCTGACCGGTTTAGAGTACGGGTAAAGAACAGCAACAGAGCTGGCCTATCACGTACACGCACGGCGTGGCGAGCACGTGTCGGTGATTGGCAGTTGCCGTGGGCGTGTCTCGACGGAAAACGTTTAAATTCCGTTTTTGACGGCTATAGGACGCGCGCACATTACCCAACAATTTTTGGAGCTGCCAAAATGACATAAGAGTCCAGAGAGGCGTGATAAGTCATAAGTGGCTGACTGGCACTTAAATGTAAATGAGTAAATGTAAATGGTACGCACTGGAGTCCGTCAAAATTCTCCACTATTTGTTCTGATCATTTTGCCACAGGTAACTACTATTTTATAACTGCGTGTGTGTGTGCGTGCGTGCGTGCGTGCGTGCGCCCGTGTGAGTGTGTCACTGTGTGTGTGAGTGCGTGTGCGTGTGCGTGCGTCTGTGTGTGTGCGTGCGTGCGTGCGTGTGCGCGCGTGCGTGTTTGTGTGTCCTTGTGTGTGCGTGTCAGTGTGGCACTGTGTGTGCGAGTGCGTGTGCGTGTGCGTGTGCGTGTGCGTGTTTGTGTGTCACCGTGTGTGCGTATGCGTCTGAGTGTGTCACTGTGTGTACGTGTGCGTGTGCGTGTGCGTGTGCGTTTTATATGTAGAGGGTTGATGCTGAATGCATACCAATGATACGTGTGGCCCGCGCAAGCGCACGACAATCTGCTTTAGTTGCCATGGAACCGAAAACTCCGCGTATTGTTCTGCAAAAATAAATTATAAATTGTGAACGGACCCACGATCTACCGACAGTCGTTTATTGTGTTTAGTTTGTATTTGTTGCTATATCAAATAATGAATAGTAGACGATGGAAAAATAATAATGTTGTAGTAATAATGAATGTACGTTGGTAAGAATAGATTGTCTTACAATCAGCCACATATCAGACGTAACCACGCGAATAATGCTTAGGTGACGGCCCAGAAAAATCTTTTTTAATACAGAATAATTATATCTTAATAGAGAAAGCGTATCGTACTCATTACTCGACATTACATAGCAGATAATAATGACGCTGGAAAAATCGTGAAGCGTTTTATTACAATCCGGTTCAAAGAAAGTTTATTTTTACAATATTTTTAATTACAATTCGCCGAGTTTATTATTACTGTCGTCTATCCTGATGCCGTAAGGGGTTGTTGTTACAAGGCTCATTTACAGGGGGAGCGTTTCCTCAAAGAATGCTGGCAGGTACATGTAGGACATTTGTGGGACACTTGTA